ATATCAGTGTTGAGGTTTAGTTTTTCAGAGGCCCCTTTCTAGTAGCCCGAGACTTAGACTATTCAGTTTTGGATTATATACATTATGACATCAACACAGTATTTCTATTAGAAGGATATTTCTGTAACAAGTTTTGCACTTCAGTGATTAGCATTTTACACCTACATAAGGAAATGAAGCAGTGCTAATCCCTCTCTAGCAAACTAAGACTTCCCTCTCATAGATACAACAAACGCTTGAAACCAACTCTTTCACTGTGTGAAATCAGTGAGCCATACTCCTATAAACACTTAATATTTGCATTTTTAAATATCTGAAGGCTTTAAAATTCTATCACTGCTTATCACTTTGCTTTATTCCCTATTGAAACAGGACCTACTTTCACTCTTTTACGCAAATGTGCTTAAAGACAGGTCATGGCCAGCAGCATACTGCATAACTCATCATGATATGGTTTAAATATCTCCCAAAGCACATAGCCAGGTAGCTAACAACACAACAGAATTAGTTTATGGTGTAAGCATGCCAAATTGTATTTTTGCTCATTTTTCTGAAATATGTTGTGGAAGTTACAGTTTGTATTAATCAGCCTTATATTTACACAGCTTTACAAAGATACAAAATTATGCTCTTGGTTGAAACATGGTATTTAGCATACTGACATTGACAGTTTGCCAAGAACACCACCTTGTACCTCTAAATTACGTATTTTAGAATGCCCTTTAGTTTTCAAAGGTAGATGTGACAAAAGGACTTCTGGAATTTTAGTGACAAAAGTGGCATTTAAAATATGCATATTACTGCTGTCATAAAAATATTTCATATGCAAAAAAAGAAAGACATCTCATTAGATCTAAAGCAGCTAAGCACTCAACTTTCACGTAAGTTAACAGGAATTCACAAAAGGTATTTTACAAAAACATCATTAGGCTTAAATTTAGGCATCTGTACCATTACAAATCTGGGCCTTAAACAATGAAAGCCAGTGCCTAGATATAATATACTAATCCTTTTACTCTTTTCTGAGATCTCACCAGGGGCTTGGTCTTGAAAGAGAAGATGCAAATCCCTTGGTTTCATCTATCTCGCTGAGACAGGAATAGCTCTCTATAGATACTTCTCTCCAATGACCGTACAGAGAGACTAGACAACTTGCAGAGACTCAGAATACTTTTCAGTAACTCTTATAAGCACCTGTTACTGCACCAACAATTATAAGCTTATACCTGGAAGAAGTATGACTGGAAAGGCTGATCCTTGTTCTCGTCTTCCACATACAGTCCTCCAACAATGTAGACCTGATTTTGTCTGGTGACTATACTGGAATGATTTCTGGGAATCTGTTCTGCCAGGGCTGCTAGGTAGCACTCATTTTCAAGAGGATCATAAGCTACTGCAGCAGTGTCATTAACCAGAAGAATTAGGTCTTTGACAAACATGCCATGCCTGGGAAGGTCATTTAGGTAGCCAGGCAATAAATCTTCATCTCCTACGTCGCCATTCACTTCCCCTTTGGCTGACTTTTCTGTACTTTTGCTAGAGTCAGGCAGTTTTCCAGCAAAAGCATCCTTAATAATCTTTACTTTTTTCTGAAGGTCTGAGTTGCTTTTAATTATATCATCCTTCTCAACATGTTCTTTGAAATATTTTTCTGGCATAAGACGAAAACGTATGCAGTCAAAAATTTCCCCCAGGCTCTTTACTCTGTTCTCCTTGTCTGTTCGGACCCATTTCATTACTGCTTCAAAAACCAGTTCTTCCTTCTCTACATTTAAGCTGTCAGGTGAAATAACTGAGATAAGTTCATGCGGGGCAAGCTGCATGAAGTCCTCTTCTTTGCAGATCTGCACAAAATGATCTGAAACAAAATCACGGGCAGAAAACGCAAGTCTTGGGCAATCAAGCAGAACACCTAATCGAAGGATGGCCAGACAGTTACCAACAGCAAGCCTCTTCTGAAGATAGGAGACGCACACAGTGAATACAGAAGGGATCTGAAAGCGACTGGCCAAAGCAAAAATATCTTGCACGTTAGAATCATTAAGATCAATACTTGCTGAATAAAGGTATTTGACAATCATATCCAGGATGTTGGGGTCAACGTCATCTAGAACTACCTCTTTCTTTTTTTCTTCATTTTGCTCGGATAAGAAGTACTCACGAAAATAAGGGCTACATGCCGACAGAATCAATCTGTGGCAAGGCAGGCTTCTGTCACCAGCTTTGAGAGAGCAATCTATAAACTTTTTCTCTTCAAGGAGTTCCTTGAGACCATCCTGAAGAAGTGTGGATTGATAAAGTCTGAGCTCTTCAGTGAGTTCCCTTTGGGAATCCATTTCGCAAATACTTGGGAAAGGGGAGGGAGCAGAAAGCTTTAGCTGTTGTCTGCCCAAAGGTCTGTCTGTAAAAAAGGCAGACCAATGTGCTTTGCCCTGCCTGATGCCTCCGCAACTTAATCTTGCTAGCTAAATATAGGTACATACTCTTAGAGGTCGGAATTTAGGATGGATGGTTTGGAAAAAAAACAGAGTTGCTCTCACAGCTGTCAAAGACTGAAAGAAGCAACTGTTGCTTTTAGTCACTATGGTCAGGTTTTGCCATCATTCTCCACACTTAATCAATGAGATTACATGCAATGTAAGAAATTATTTGACATGAGTAAGGACAGCAGAATCTGACCCTCAGTGAGACAGCTATGAGCAAGATTGTAAATACACATGTTACCAAATATTCTGAAATAGAAATATTATTAATCAAGTTGTCAGTTTCAACTACTGTTCACTTTTTCAGAGTTGTTCATCTCATTGCTGCAGTCATAAGGATACTTTAAAAATCCAGAACTTTGCATCAATTATCTATGCTCTAAGATTATTTTTTTACATACCCATATCACATCTGCAATTTCTTCAGATATTGATAATAAGACTTTGAAATTTGTTTTGAGTTTCTCCTTAATAGCCATTTGGTTGTATTTATTTGCAAACAAAACCCTATTGTTTATAGATGTAAAATACACATTCAGGTAAATTTCTGCTTTCAAAAATAACTTAAGATGAAGTCTCTACCCCCCCCCCTTAATAAACGCCATCCTTCATATCAGATAATTGGTAGACAATATCAACCCTTTTAAATTCAACTGTACTAGAAATGGTGTTAACTGCTGTTAAACTAAATCGAAAACAGTACATAGGAAAGGAAGAACAGAAAACAAAAAACATGTAATCCACCATATTAACATTACTTAATGGATGTGTAATTTAAAAAACCTGAAAAAATCTGAATTTAAACTAAAAAAGCCTCAAATCAGACAAGTAGTTTGAAAAGTGAATGTGAATTTAGAAAAATTATGTATATGTTGAAGGTTTCACAATTTAGACTGGGAACATCTAGATTTTTATTAAAGGTAGTAATACAGATCCAAAACAAATTTGAAATTTTAAGTTGTTTAATGTACCTTGATGAAGGACTGTATTTTGCCTATCTAGAGAACGCTTTTTACCCATATGGCAAAACGTTCGTTGAAGGTAATGGAAACAGGATCAAAACACAACTATTTGAATGCAACATCTACAACGAGGTATAACATTATCAAAGTTTATTGAAATCATGATTGCTTTTCAATATACGCAGTATCTCATTAAAATACATGCCTTGAAAGATTTTCTACAGACACCACAATTATACTCACACCACAGTTACTTTACTATAACAGTCAGCTGCTAAAACAACAGCTGAGAGGAGAGCTCATTTGACTTTTTCCATTTATAGAAAATAGCACAGAGGTCTTATCTCACTAGAAAACGTAACAGCTGCATCTTCCTTTAAACAATAAATGACTCATTTCTCTCTAACACGTAACATCATGAAGGTCTAATGACTCAGACACAGAAGCTATTTGTGTATGCACTTTTTTCTAGATGATTCCTTAAAAGAAGTGCTCTAGCCAAAAAAAAAAAAAAAAAAGAAAAAAAAGTAAAAACTGTATGAGGGTATCTGGATTACAATTAAGTATCTAGAATGATATGTGCTGAACATTTAACAAAATTATGAGACATGAAAACTAGTATTTGGAACAGTATTGTTTTTTGTCAAAGTTATCAGTAACAGCACAGCTGCAATGACACAGCCAATATGCCTTGATACAAAATGTTCTGCATATGATACTTCTATGTTGCACAACATACACAAATTATGGTTATTTGATTCAGATATAACCATTATGGGAAAGTACATCACTATATAGAAATACATGAATAAATTGAGCATCAAACCATATACCACATGCTGCCCTATCTCAAATGGTGGTCTCCGTGTACGTGGGAAGAGAAGCCTTCCTCTTCTGACATACTTCTAAGTAAAATGGCAGGCAGTGGCTGGTCCTGGCAGCCAATCACAGGGCAGTATGCAAACACGTGGGTCATGGAGTTGTTAAAAAAAATGATGGCTACCCGCCATAAAATGGTGGCTGAAACACCATTGACAGACCCTGTGTTGTTAGGGGAGGGGGCTTCCTGCTCTGACAACCTTCTGGCAGAAGCAGGATGAGGTGGCTGGTCCTGCCAATCACACGCCTGAAAACACCTGGGGTACGACTGTGTCAAAACCGGCAGTCAGCCAATCACAAAGCAGTATGAAAACACGGGGTATGGCATTTTACATAATGGCAGCTGAAGTAAAGTGGCAGCCACTATTCATGTAGCAGGTAGGGACTTCCAAGTCCTTATAGCCTGACAGACAGAGGAGGGACTCCTTGGGTCTTTGTACCATGTGACCAGAGGAAGGGCGGGGCGTCTGGGGCTTGTGGAACACGTGATGCCTGCAGGGGGCAGGGCTGCCACCAGCAGCTGAGGCCCTGCCCCTCCTTATATTAGATACTGGTTGTTACTTTCAGAAACGATGCAGTAAACACAAAGCTTTTACACATACGAGGGTTTTGAATAATCTTTCCTTTATGACATATCCTGAGGGCCTATTATCTAATATTTGCCTGCTCTTTAGCTTTAGCATGTTCTTTCTCTGCTACTCTGGTATTTCTAAGTTTTCTTCTACAGATCTCACAAGCCGAGTAAGAACTGAGTCTTTCCTTGCTTAGGAAACATGTGCCAACCTAAATCAGGTCATTACTTCCCAGAGTCCCTGGAGTGTGAATCCATCCTTCAGCTTCTCTATTGCAAGTCCTAGTTCTTCGGAAAAAATGGGCTCCCGATCATGTTGCTTTTTTGAATGCATGAGATATGATAGAAAATAAAACAAAGCAGAAGGTACTTTTTAATTTTATCACCCCATTTTAACAACATGAATTTGATAGTATGTAAAAAGGTGTTCTTACCTTGTTTTCATCAGCAAAGTAAGCCTGCAAAAGAAAGAAAAAAAGAACTAGCACCCTTGGAAAAAAAAAAGTTCTAAAACCAAATCTGCTAATAACTCCTTAGGGTCAAAATTGTATTTGATAGGTTTTCTTCAACAAACCAGTCTGTATGGGTTTTATTTTTGTTTTGTGAACAAGATCAGAGTTTTTTCTATGTTGAAATAATTTATAAAAGGGTTCTAACAGGAGTTGGTGATTATGTTATTTTTCATTAAATACCAATATTTGAATTTTTACCATTTAAAAATCTTTGTTTATTATGATGGAAATTTTCCTATTACATTTGTTACACTGACATACTTTGCAGGGAATAAAATGTTAATACGAAGGCAAAGTGACAGCATCCTAGCATTTTCTGCCTCATGTGCAGCAGCATTTATTATTCAATTTCAAAAACTAACTTAAAATGCGGAAGTAATATCAAAATTCAGTTAACATCATACTCAATCTAAGAAATGAACACCGAGCAATTAACCAAATTTTTCTACTCTCAGATAGAGATCTGGGAAAGAGATACAATCTTTCCCATTCTGTGTGTGTGGAAATTAAGGCTCAAACTCTTCAGGAAATCAGATCTCTGAAAATATCCACAGCTCTAGAAGTATCTGAACAAGCAGGCTCTAGATCTTCACATTTACTAAAAGGAGCCTGATCTTGCTTCAGCTGCCCCTACGGACTGGCAAAGGGCAGCAAAGAAAGCATTTTCCTGCTCAGCTGGATCTTAAGCTATGCAAGACTCTACAGAACAGCATCACAGTCATGAAGTGTCATGGAATATTGGTGTGGAGCCACTCCTTGGGTCCTGGACAATCTATGCCTCCTATAGCAACCACATTCTAATCATTTACAGCTTCCAGTTTTTGTTTTAGAATATGCAAAGCACAGCTATTTGATCCAGGTGACAAAGGCACCAATAGAGCAAACAGAATCTACATTTAAAGAAAAGGTAGGTCTTAAATGTGCAAAAATTAAAAGGAAAAAAAAGGCAAAAAGTTAGGTAAAAGGAGGGAAAGGAAGAGATAAGAGCTTATCTGTATCACTAAATTATAGCAAAAGAAAAGAAGGTGGAAATAAAATTTGTGCTAGCGCTGCTAATTTACCAAATTTCAAAGATGAATTAAGAAAACATGTCAATTGTCAATATGTCAAGGCTAGCATTTGAAAACATGTGCAGTCTACCTGTACAGTCAATCATGCAGTCAGGTGTCACTGGGTTGCACAGTAAATATGCAAACTCCTAGAAAGAAGGTCATCAAGCAACCTAATGCATTGAAAAGTAAATTTTCCTGAAATACTGGGAGACAGATACTAATACAGTTTTCTAAACTGGTATTGTCAGGAGTGCAAAGGTTGTCAGGAGTGACTCAAAATTATTGCTGCCTTCCTAAAAATCCTTCAAGTTTGAATCTTAGATGAATGTTGAGCATACAGATATTACCATCTATTAATCTGCTCCAAGAGAAGGAAGACCTGTTATACTGCTGGTTTTCAAGCTATTCCTGATCTTAATGTGTTGAGAAACTACATACAACTATTAGTTTAAATATCTACTACTATTTATTTTGAATAATAGTTTGTTCTTAAATTAAAAATCCATGCACAGAATAAATTCCTGTAGTAATCAGGATTTTGAGTAAAAGGCATGTAGGTGTGTTTTAGATATAGAAAGTTCAGTTGCAGCTTGCCTTTAATAGAGGATTACAGTTGTACATTGCTTACAGTTGAATAACCAAACAAAAATTACTTTATTTTTCAGTCTTCCGTGGAGCAGCTTACCACAAAAGCATCTGTATGTTCATCAGATTCTATTTCCACATCATCTTGAACCTGCTCCACTGTTAGGTCTTCAAGAGGTTGAGGCTGCAAATTAATACACTGAAGTAAGTAAATTCACTTATCTAATATGTTTAATGTATTTTTATTACTCCTGTTAACACATTATTGTATCTAATTTAAAATAAATGAGTGGAGTACCTTTTCTTCCATTTCATAATCCACTCCAAATATAGGGTTAGCTGAATAAACTCTGTGAAGTGAATTAATTTCTTTCACTGCCTCCTGTAGTTTCTCCACAGGGTCTATTTTAAAACCAAGTACATATCCTCCACTCTATATAACAGAGAAAAAAGAAGACACATATTTATTAGTGTTGCTTACTATTTAAACAACTTTTTCCCCTTGATAGGGATTTGCAGTTTAATGATAGCAAATTTCAGTTTGCTGATAAAACATTATCTGTATTTTGGTATTATCTTATTTTTATTCTGCCACTTAAAACATTGGCAAAATAAAAACAATGACAATGTTTCTCTGTGAGGTAAATAAGCTTTGAACTGTTAGCCCATTATATAAATGGGGAACAAACTTCTTAGAAAACCAAAAGCAAACAAGGGTGGGAGAAATTCAGAAGTGATATTAATGATTTATTCCTAGCTACTCAGCAAATGTTTAGTCTGTTAGATCTTGATGTTGTTATTAAAGAAGCTTTCAGATACAGTAAATAAAGTCAGTTGAACTTTAAAAAAAAAAATCACCATTACAAGCATTTCTGATTAAGGTCAAATTGAAGAAAAATAATTTTGTCTCTTCCAGCAAAACAGAAACACAAGTGAAAAAGATTAAAAATAGTGGTCTCAGTTAAGTATAGAAGTAATTAGATCCCAAAGATAATCTGTCAGAAGACACTGGTTTTAACAGTTATTTTACTTTATTTTAGCTAGTCATGCTGGCCTACTGTCGCTTCGCTTAGAGAAACCATAACTCACAATAGCCATATGGACCTTAACATACAGACATTTTAAGCAGTGCAGAGGACTTTTTTAAAAGTTGTGTTCAAAAGGCCACACAGAAGGAACAGTTTAAGTAACTTAAAAGTAGCTCTGTAACATTTCAGAATTGGAGAACTGTTATATATAAAAATGTAACCAATGAGAAAAGGCTATTAAAGCTTCTTACCTGCTGAGAACTTTCTATCACAAGCGCCAAGCCAAACTTTGAGTCTCTTATTTTTATTGAACGCTAATGGTAAAGAGGTAAAAATTGTTTGTTAAAAATTTTGGAATTACTTGAAAAAATCTGATTTATTTATTTTTACACTGTACTAATCACAATTACTGGTTCTGAAAGTTTGGCTACCATCGTTCTCTCCCGTTTACTCTTACAAATCTGAACCCCTGAACCTCAGGGAAAAGTGTTTTTATCAGAATTGGTAGCAGTGGTAACAGTTCATTTCTGAACATTAGGTTCACAGATCATTAATCCCAGTGTATGTAGGTGGCATGAAGCATCATAGTAAATAATTTTACAATTGGAAATACAAGCCATTATCAATATATGTACCTGGCCATGAAAGCCCCCCGTTAATCCGAACGGAAAAAAAAATCTACCCTGTGGTTGATGCTGCTAAGACTAAATTTCTTCCTGACTGTGGGACATGAAATACTAATTTTGGTGAGCTGGGAGTTTTAACTGAAGACTTGAACTTATGCAATTTCATTTTGAAATGGTTGTTCCAAGATACTTACAATTTGTAGATATGGTATGCTGACATTAAAGCTGTCATTCATATTTGCATGCCAAACTATTCTCACATTAGTAATAAAAAACGTTCCCAAATTTCCCTATTAAAGAAAAGGTATGTTAGAACTGCTTTGAAGTCTTGAGACTTTTTTCCAAACACAATGATTACTGCTATCCATTTAAACACAAGCAGGATACAGCTTCATATTTAATTCAATAAAAGCCTGATTCTTTCCCACCAAAACCTGTTGAAATGCTTCTATTGATTGCAAGGAAGCAAGATCCAATCTTTAAAGGATACAGCAGCCGAGTCAAATCACAGCCCAGCAGGCCTCATGGGAGTACATGAGGCATCTGAGAGTGTTCTTAACTGTACTGATCTGGAATTGGCATATAGCATAAGTATAATGGCATGTGGGTTAAACTTAAGCAATTGTGGAGATGTGTGCCAAGGGAATGTAGAGGAAAGAACTTTTTAGCTTGTCAGGGTGGATCCTGTTTCCACTCTGGACTAAAATTGCACAGACAGAAATAACAGCTCCCATTTTGTTTCATGGCTCTGGGAAATACTTGCAACTAATGCTCTGTAAAATAATGGAAATGTTTTCTACTTTTTCCTTAAAGTCTTGATTCTTCCATGTTTTAAGACATAGATTCCTATTCCAGTATTTTCAATTTCCAGTAATCAGAAGACAATATAGTCTTACACTGTGGTCATAGCTGCACGTAAACATACAAATATTCAGCAGAGCACTTTGGAAACAACATGATTGTCTTTCAGGGTGATACAAAGCTTTAGACTCATAAATACATCTTTTTAACAGGAACCGTAGATCTACTTCCTTGCATATTAACTGAGTCACATAGACTTCAGGTTGCCAAAAAGACACTTTGTTGTACTGAGTAGCAAATATATGGGATCAACTTCTCTGCATGCATTAGCTGATGAACTGAATGAAGGGTAATTCAGGTTACAAAACTATAGTAGTACAACAGCTAGATAAAAGCCAAAACATTTTAACTTTGCTTTGTCAACATAGTCTCATTTTTCACTATACCTGGTCACTTGATAAATTCCAAACTCCATTGATTTTGTCATATATTTGTTCTTGTGGTAATAATCTCAGTTGCTTGTTTTGAATCAGTGCACTTCTCAGCTTAAGGTCACGATACATTTTAGAAGTTTCATAAGCTCTGCAAAAAATAAAAAATTTACGTTACCATTTCAGTGTTTTCTATTATCTTTGTTTTAGCACTAATATGAAATGTTGTATATTTTCAACTTTTCTTATCACCACATTGCACAAAAATGAGAGTACTATTAAAACTTCATCAACATAAAGCATTATATTTCAGCTTTCCTTAATGAAGTTATCTTTAAACTTAAAAGGATTTTTTTGACATCTGTTTTGATCTTCTGTATTGTTCATGTGTATACTATTTCCTTCTTTTCTTTAAGATAGTAATCTCCCAGCACCTATTGCAAAGCATAAGTCTTCTGGGTCCCATGTTACACATGGTATGGACATCAAGAATCCTTTATTTTTCAGTGCTGGTTAAGTCAAAAACATCCAATATATGTACGTCAGTATCCATAGCTCTTAAACAGAAACCTATGTTAATGTATTATGCACACATTCATTCAGATGACTTATCTTTAGGTGGGAAACATCCACTGTTTTGTAGCCAATTAGAGTTTTGACAAGGATTTAACTCTTCATTTCCATTTCATGGTCCAAAATTATGGGAAATTATTATAGACAGAAATTATAGATAGAAAATGCAGACTGAAATTGGCTCTTTTGTACTTTTATTTGTTCAGATAGTTTATACACACAAGGTGTATAACATGTTATCAATGACTGGTATTAATACACATTAATTTTCATTACGCACAGTTATTTACTAGAATTTGTGATCATTCTCTCCCTTCCTTCCAGAGATTGTATTCTCCTCTTTTAAGAAAGTTTTCTGATTGTTAAATATGGGCAGTTATATACTCAATCCATCTACAGTATTAATCACACATATTTGATTCTTTGAATTTTGTAAATGAACAAACACTATTTTAAGTATGCTACCTGTGTACAGCAATAACTGAAGTGAAGAGTCTGGGACTCCCAGGGACAACATTGGTAAATATGAACTCAAACCGTGTGTTGTTACATTTAGTCAATATATACAGAGCTTCTGTCTGCCCTCGTAATTTCTGTAAGGAAAAAAATGAAATTTATCATTCTGACAATATAGTAGCTTGACTGTACAGGCAATAAATAATCTTGACATATTTTCTAAATTCTTGTTCTAAATAGTATATCTGAAGGTGTAATCCTGATTCTACCACTGATCTACTGCTGTCTTCATCTTAACTCAGTTTTTCTGGAGAAACTAGCAGTTCCATCAACAGCAGAACTAATGAAGCTTGCCTGCTATACATTTGCAGTATCATGACTGAAACAATATTTTTGGCTTTGTTACCATGTGGCTGTCTGGGGAATCTACATAATCTCCCTGCTAGTTCTTTGCTGCAAGACAAACAAATGGCTTCACAGTTGCATGTAATTCAGGCTATGCATTTGAGAGCTTTCTTGCACAAAATTAGTGCCTCTTTAGACCTTTGTTACATTTAGACACAATGAGCCAACATGTACTTGACTTACCTAGAGGGAAGAAGAATCACCAAACAGTGTGATTACATGAGCTTTACTGTCTTAGGAAACTGACTAAACCCACAATCCTATAGAAATTTAAAACTCTCTCAACTTTTAAAACTAAACTTCCATTACTATTCTACTACTGTTCTTGCAAGTAAACTTTCAGATTATTGTTGATATAGTGCAATAAGTATAAACAATTAATTACAGCTTCTTTTATTATTTTAAAGAGTATTTTTTGAAACTTACTGAGTTGGCAGTTCTTGTAGTTATATTTATAATGCAGTTGTAACCAACAGCTAAAAGTCAGGGGAGAAAAAAAAAACCAGTTTTGAGAACAAGAAAAAATTATAGTCAAAATAACAAAGTACAATATTGAATTGTGTAGCACAGCTTTGGATACTATTTTTGAGAATTACACATTGTGGTTAATGCCTGAGCCCTCATCACAAAATCGAAAACTAATTTAAGCTGGAAAGGACCTTGGGAGGTTGTCTGGTCCAATGCTCTTCCTAAAGCAGGACCAACTCCATCTGGCTGCTCAGGGTACTGTTCAATTGAGTTTTGAGTATTTCCAAAGAAGGAGATTCCACAACCACTCTGGGAGCCTGTTCCACTATTTGACTGCCATCACTGTGAACATTTTTTCTCCTAATATCTAATCAGAATTTCCCTTTTTCAGCATTTGACTGTTGCCTCAAGAAGGTTTGTTTCATCATGATGTTGCCCATAATTTTTACCCTTATAAATAAAACTTTCTACATCAATGTAATACTTTGTAGAAGAGCTAAGGAGATGACAAAGAAAAAAAGCAACAAAATGGAAAGTATAAGTGCAGAAGAAACAAAAACAAGGAAAAAAGTTATAAATTTCACTTTGCCTCTTCTACAGTAGCGCTCTGATACAAAATAAAAACAGAAACAATCCCAGCTGTTCTTCCTAAAACAAATGGATGCACTAAAATGGTGCTGGGGTAAATCTGAATGTCAATGACAATCCCGTTACTGATACCAATAGTAGCACTGCCAGGTTAAAAAAAAAACAAAACCAAAAACCAAAAACCAAAGGAGAACTAGAATTTGCTTTGGGAAGATTCTGCTTCTTCAAAGGCTCAGATGTAGCTGCAGTTATGTAGATAAGAATATTCAGTCTTTACAGAATTAATACTTATGAAAATACCAGAAAAAGACTTACTTCCTAGGTTGCTTATGAGAAATTTTCTAAAACCAAAAGAAACAGCAATGGTCAAAAATGGCATTCAATAAAATATTTTTTTTGTGTCTGTATATTCCCTTATGTAAGAAATAATGCATTATCTTGAAAGCTAGAGAGTATTTTAAACTCTAAAAGCCATAGGTTAGACTTCCTTGAGCTTCTATAGGGCTGAACTACTCCATAAGTTTCTTTGTGATCTCCTCTAAAAATGTCTATTCTAAAACTTAAACAAACAAGCAAACAATTTATAAATACATATAAAATTTGTATGCACGTGCATGTATGAGCAAATGCAGAAAAGCAAACAGGCAGAGGGCATAAGTTTATATACATTATGAACAGAATACAGATTTTCAATATTGAATGACTATTGGGAATTAAGCACTGGGAATAATCTGGGTACAAAGTAAGTGCCTCCCGCCCCTGTTTCAGCAAATTAAATTAAATATGAGTAGACCTGCTAGCTACTCATACAGTTAAAATTAGAAGCTTATTCAGAGCTTACAATAGTAAGTCTGGAAAGGCAGGTACTTATGGGGAATAAAAACTGTAGGACAATACATAATGTGAATAAACAGGTGGCAACAAGAGGTATGAGTAAAGCAAAGTGTGAAGAAACTCAAACTTTTGTTTCTTTCTAGAAAAAAGATGAATCCCACATAGGGTAAATGAAAAGTACGCCTGAAGTATTCTTCAATTTCTATTCCGAGAGATTAAAATTGAATATTAACATTTTGCTATGAATTATTATAACAGTTCCTATATTACAAATAGATTCATTAGTAACAGTTTATTTCGGACTTTACAGAGCAATAGAACTACACTTTACTACTCTGTACTGTAATCAATACTACTGCAAAAGAATAGCATGCCACCACAAAGGAAACAAAATGTGCAGTTGTTTAACAGGAGATGATACTCACAGAGATTGACTCTGGGCAATGACAATGAGCGCCAAATAATCCGCAAATTTGTCACAAGCAGTCTACCTGGAAATAAAGAATGTAGATATTTTTAATTTGAATAACTTCGATTAAATTAAATGTTCCATTCCATTCCATACCTCTAGTTTTGAAACACCAGAATATTCTTTCCCCTTGATAGGAAAAAGAAGAAAAGCACAGGACACCTTAGCAGAAAAATCACTAAACGCTTTTGGTTTTTTTGAATGCTAGGAGAGAAAATCCAGCAAGGAACAACCTCTAATATATACCAGCATTCCTCAAAACCAAACCAAGAACAGTTACTGATTTCAAATCCACCTCCCTATGGCAAAAATGCGGAGACACAGTCAGTGCAGAACTGCTCCAGGGAGAAGGGGAAAGCAGTGAGTTAACTATCGCAGCTGTCTTCATGAATAACCTCACCCCTCTATGTCACATGCAAATTTCTTCGATTCTGTACCCTACACAGCAGCACATCCAACCCCAGGAAGGGTCATCTCAGCATACTGGCAGCTTCATAATCTTGCACACTATATATATATTCCTCACTGATTCAGTTTAAACCAGATGAGGAGAAACTAAGCATTAAACAGGATTACAGCAAAAGATCACCACAGTGTTTATAAATAGATTATTCTTACGAGACTTTCAATTCTAAACAGATCTCGAGACAAGATTATCACCTTCCTATAACTTTGAACAAGAGATCCTATTTGAAAATACTCCAAGGGGAGACAGATCTGTGAAACAGGCAGGATCTATTTTCTGCAACAGACCATTGATACAGAGTTCAGTGGAAACCAAACAGGGCTTTCATGAACCTTTCATTTAACAAAGGTTAAATATTAGAAAGTTTACAATTTCCCTGGGTATGCAGTTACCTCTGTCTCCATTGTTTCCTTTGGTATCTTCAACAGACTCTAAGCAGTCTATGAGGACCTCTCCAGGTCTCATTTTCATTTGTCTAAAAGAAAAAAAAAAAAAGAAGAAAAAAATTACCTGATGAAAAATAGATTAGATTTATCCTCGAAAAGAAGGCCATTTCCATTTCCCCACTTCACTTTCCTTTCTCCTTTTTTTGCGTAGGGCACTACACAATGAAAAATGCACATATGCACCCATACACAGAAATCAACATTATATACCTGAAATTGTTATCACTGCATCTGGCATATGAAAAATATTAATACCTTTATTATTAAATTATAACAGTAATTAAGTAATTATGTAGCAAGTGTGACCAAGCAAACTATATCCCAAAATAGGGAGAAAGTGTGTGAAAATGTGAGGGAAAAGCAAAAAAGTTGCATTCACATCATTTTTAATGGATAGCGTTTGTTGCCTCTTGCTGTACTTTTAGGTCGTAAGGAATGGAGCTAGGATCAGGAAAGAATAGACGCCAGCAAAGGAAATATCAGATGTATACTGACATGCGGAATACTCTGCTAAATTTACCACAAAGAGTGTGGTTTGGTTTTTTGTTGGGTTTTGGTTTGCTTGTTGGGTTTTGTTTTGGTTTTTAATTTTGCTTGATTTAACTGGTCTAACCACTTAATTACATAACAGATGTAGTGTGAAATTTTGTTGTATTTTAATGGTATTGTGCAAAGCAGCCAAAACTCTTCAGTGTGTTGGCATGACAGAAACAAAATGCATTATCAGGAGGGGAATTCTACGAGATACTACTGGAGATTAGGATCAAGACACTAGGTATGGAGTCAACAGCACATCACCAGAACAGCACAAAATATATTATACAGGAGGTAGCAAGAATAGTAACATTAGCATTAAAGAAAATACGAAAGCAGGCTCTGTCTACACGACAATTTTACAAGAAAATAAGACAGAACTGCTTAAACATCCAAAATGCAATTTCAAGTTTCTAAAACTACTGCAGCCAACATGTCTGAGGGACAAGGGGTGTTCTCAGTAGAGTCAACCGAGTAGGAAGGAGATGAAGCATGATGGTACGCTTTCAGCCTCCACCCCCAAAATCATCACCAACTAGCTGCTATTTTGTAGCTCCATACTACAGAAGCCATGCAGGGTTTTGCCACAGAAAGCCGAGCGTAAGTTTTATGTCTGAGAGAAGGCTGACAGCTCATCAGAGGTCAAGGCCCACTGGAGTGCGGAAGCACTGCCTCCACCAGGAGGTACCCGACAACCCTTCAGCTCTGGCCCCTCAGAGGCTGCAGAGCCACTGCCCGCTTCCGTCAGCTCAGGCTGCCGACGCCACGGCAGGGTCACCGAGTCCTTGTTACCAGTGACTGGTACCGTCCCCTCAGACGCACACCGTAAGGTCTTCTTCTCAGCGCCGGGTAACGCTACAGGCGGCTGGGAAGAGAACACCCTTCCCTCAGTCCTCTCGTGTGCAACCTATTTATTTTTTTCTTTTATTGACTGGAAACGGCGACTAGACTCCACCTACCACAAACTCCCCAGCCGGCCCGCCCGGTGCCAACGGCCACGCAAGGCTCTTCCCGCCCTGCCAGGAAAACACGCTTCCCGCCCTCCGCCCCGCCACACTGGCCATGCTCCCAGCATCCATCGCGCCACTAATGGCGGCCGCGCTCGGCCTTCTGGCAGACGCCGGGCGGGTCCGAAAGCCCTGCTGTAAGGGGAGGGCAGGGCAACGACACTCACTGCGGGGAGATGTCGAAGCGGACATCTCTGTCCTCCCACAGCACATCCAGCACCGCGCTCATGGCTGCCGGCCGCGGCGCACACCGCTCCCTCTGGCGAGCCCGCGCGCCGCCGTGGCAACGCGGGCGGTGTCTCGCGCTCCCGCGGCGATCGGGATTGGCTGCGGCGCTGCACGTGGCGGGGGCCGTCCGCTCTCCCGCCTACCTTAGCCCCGGCTGGGCTGAGGCAGCGGCCGCGGGCGGCGCCGGGCTGTGTGGCCGCGGGCGGGGCCGGGCTCGCTCCGCCCAGCGCCTTCCCCGCTCTGGCTGTCGTGCCTTGTGGCCGGCTGGGTGGCGTGGTTGTACGGCCTCGGCAGCGCCGACGGCCTGGCGCTTGTGAACGTCTGTGAAGGAGAGCGGGGTGCTCCGAGTCGTTGGAGCGTGTAGCAGTTGCAGCTTTTCCTCGCGCTTTAGTTTTGTCTGGTAGAAGGTAACATTTGTATTGCCGTGGACGATCAGCCAAACCCCTGGGCAGTCGGTAAACCTAGAACCTGCGAAACCCTTGCTTACTCGGTAAATTACAGCCTGAAGTCCTGTGGTTTTTGCTTTTGTCGTGGTTTTGTTTGGTTTTTTTTAAACTCGATAGGACGTATCATAATATGTTTAATTTGGAATACCATGAAAATTGCATCTGGCTGAATTTTAATTGCAGCATCGTACCACTGTCAAATAAAAAACCCACTCAAAATAAGTACGAATCACAGGAAGAAGCCTGTCCTTTGGCAGTTCTTTCCCTGGAGCTGGTCCCCGAGTCAGTGAAGAGCCCCTTGCGTCCCACCAGGAAGTCGATACAAACGCGACAAAGTGAAAAACAGCAGCGGTGCTGCCGGGCTCTCCGCCTCACTTCCTCCCGCGCTGGCGGGAAGAGCGGCGTGCTGCGGCGTGCTGCGGCGTGCTGCCATGTGCCGGCGGGGCTCTGCTGCCACCCCAGTGGGAGGGCGGCTGGCAGCTCTTGAAGTAGGAAGGGTAGCGGGTGTTTGGCTTGAGGCCAAATTCCATTTTTTGTTGATAGGCTGAACTTGCCAGTTGTTCAGGAAAAAAACCACAAACCCAACCAAAAATGATCATCGGGTTTCATGTGCAGGAGTGCCTAATCTGAGGTGTTCAGTCTTGTTAAGGGCTGTGGCAGAAATCCAGTTATCCATCAGAGGCGCATTACGCACTAAGTGTGATTTAGCTGTGAGGTAAGTTTTTAGTCCTGTAAAGGTACCATTATCCATTCTGTATCCTGGCAGTAAAACCAGAAATGTTTTATTAGAAACAAGCTTTTAAGTATATAAGTCAAGTAATAGGAAATACATCATATACAGGCAGACATAAATGTAAAAAGCAATATGGCAGTGGCAGGCAGTAAAGAATAAGCTCTATGCTGTGTTTGATGTTTTGAACATAAGTTTAAAAAGTTTTTCAAGAAAGATGAAAATACTAAAATGCATTTAAAAATTAGACTTGGCTTTCAGAAGAGAAACACATGTCAAGGACCACTTTAGACATGAACTAACCTCATTTAGTGATACCAGCTATCAGTGTAGTCACTCATATAAATGTGTGGATGTGTTTTAACTGCATTTGTCATGTATCTTGCTAGCTAATGGAAACTGAGGAAAGTTTACGGAAAAAAGAACTAAATACAATTGTGTCGTGGTTGGGAAAGGTGGGTAGCTAAGCCACCTCTCTGTCTTGTGACCCAGAGAGCACATAGGCCACAAGTTGATGCATTCGCTGTGTTCATCTGTACTGAGTAGTACTCTGCATGTAATTTGGAAATTGTGCTTGAAATATTAAAATAGGATTTGTGGGAACACTTTCAATTAAAAAAAAAAGTTAAGTCTTCTTTGCAGAATCCATGCCAAATATCAGATTTCTGTAACAGAGAGAAAAGAAGTTACATAATTTTCATGACCAAAGATTGCTTTCCAAAGCCATATATATAATTTAAAATGAGGAATAGTTAGTGATTGTACAATGGTAGTATTTAAAGATCTGGGTGAAGGAAGGGCAATTTCTATGGCAAATGCTATACTGGTCTTCCTATATCTTAGTAAAAAGGAAAATTTGTACTCTTTTGTTACATAAGGACTACATCATACAATATATGCAAAAAGAATTAAAGTGAGCTTGCATAGGTAGACTTTTAATTAGGGAGCATATGACTTCATAATGTTAACATTCTTTAAATTAGTGGGTTTGGTTTTACATACCATGCTGGATACTTAATAACAAACCCAAATAATTAATAGCTTCAACTTGCTCATTATTGATGTAGAGATAAATTCCTACCTCCAGAAAAAAATACACAAGCCTCTCTACATTCCTCTTCACTCTCAAAGCGGTTTGCATTTCCATCGCAGCCACCATACCAAAACTGAGCACAAGCATTGGCTTGTTTATCATAATACCATTTTATGATATAAACACGGCACGGCCCTTGATCCAGCCTTAACTTGCACCGGAAGTCCAGGATCCTTTCTAAAATAAAGAAAAAAAGGAATGGAAACAATTCAGTTTGTAGAAGTCAATTGTATTGCATAGATTTTAACTATTTGTCCTGGTTTCAGCTGGGATAGAGTTAATTTTCTTCCTCATATAGCTGGTATAGTGTTATGTTTTGGGTTCAATATGAGAAGAATGTTGATAACACACTGATGTTTTCAGTTGTTGCTCAGTAGTGTTTATACTAAGTCAAGGATTTTTCAGCTTCTCATGCCCAGCCAGCAAGAAGGCTGGAGGGGCACGAGAAACTGGAAGGGCGCACAGCCAGGACAGCTGACCCAAACTGGCCAAAGGGATATTCCATACCATGTGATGTCATGCCCAGTGTATAAACTGGGGGGAGTTGGCTGGGGGGAGTTGGCTGGGGGGCATGGATCACTGCTGGGGAACTAACTGGGCATCGGTTGGTGAGTGGTGAGCAATTGCATTGTGCATCACTTGTTTTGTATATTTTAATTCTTCTATTATTATTATAGTCATTTTATTATTATCACTATTGTTATTTTCTTCCTTTCTGTCCTATTAAACTATCTTTATCTCAGCCTATGAGTTTTACTTTTTTCCCAGTTCTCTCCCCCATCCCACTGGGTGGCAGGGAGTGAGCGAGCAGCTGTGTGGTGCTTAATTGCTGGCTGGGGGTAAACCACGACACTTTTAAACTCTGATTTTATTTCATTTCTTCTGCTAATGTTATACAGCAGTTTAAGATTCACTTTTACTTCTAAAGATGTTAGCATTGAAGGCAAGTTAGAAGTGCATCTTAGTAGGTCAAGTAAACTCTTCCTTTACTGTGGCATGGTTCCAGTAACTTCAGAAATAATAGTAGTATGGCTTCACATACAAGAAGAACAAACAATATGAATCTAATAATTTTGAAATCTAATTTTTGAAATCTAATTATCAGCAACCAGTCTTGTGAGCAACCCAAAATAGTAAGCCAAAGAGCTGTAAGCTAGTTGCATCTGCTGTTTTCGAACCACAGGTATGACCATCATCCTTCTGCAGTACATCGCTTCAAGATATTAGTTCTCTTTGTGGTGTGGGGGAATAGGCATTAGAATAGTGAGAAGAACATAAAACTTTAGTCTTTCTTTTGTAAGATGTTTGTGCCACTTATCTAATACAGTGGTATTAATTACATACATACTGGTTAAGTTTGAATGTTGGTCTAATGATTCCTACAGATAAGCATCAGAGGCCTGTGACATACTAATCTAGTCTCACTCACTTTAATAATACCATGAGATATAAAATACTTTTCCTTCAAGTTTAGTGTTATGACATCAATATTCTGTCTTTGGCAACTGGTATCTTGACACGTTAAAAAAAAAATTATTGCCAGAGACAGAATAATAGTCATGTCCATGTTCCCAGGAATCATGGGAACATGTTTCTATTGCTCTCTCCTGTTAACTCCCATCATAATACACTATTAATGGAGCTCAGAAGTGTGAATGCCCCAAATGATGAACAGAATACATTTGAACATTTCATATGAAAAGAATCAAGCATTTGAGCAGTCAGCTAATTACTATACTTTCCTTCAAATGACTAAACACCATTTTTTCCTATTTCTCCTCTGAAGGAGAAATCTATTTTTTCTGTCCAATTCTGAAATCATTGTCTTCTGTCTTTAGTGAAGCCTCCCATCTCCATAGACTGCACCTTCTTGACTGATGAATTACCTGCGCACTGACCCACCTCAGCTAGCACTATGTTCTCTTTTTGATGCCATTTATGAGCTCTGTCTCAGGTTATAGCTGACCTTGCATCTGCTCTAAGTGGAGCAGTGGGATTTGGAAATTGGGAAGATAAGAACTGGTGAACAGGCTGGACAAGAACTGCAACTAGATCTGTGATAAAATCCTGAAATGCATTCTCTTCCACACCACAGCGTGGGTTCATGAAATCTTCAGAGAATGGAACAAAATTACTCTGATTTAAAGCCTTATGAAAAGTTAGGATAAGATGGAACAAAATGAAAAACTAGTTATGATCTATAACCTGGTCTTGGTGTGAGCCCTGCAGTTGAAAGAGATGATGTCATCACTTTATCTGATGGTGGTGGTTTAGATGGCAATAATGGTACCACAGCTGCAGATGAAAAGAAACAGGATGAGACACTGATTTTTGATCAGCCAAAAATGAAGAAATGAATGATGATAAAAATACCTCTAGTGTCCACTGTTAGCAAGGATGACTGTTCCTCCTCCTCCTCTTGTTCCTCTTCATAGGCTTCATATACTACCACACGAGGTACTTTGGTCTGAAATAAGCATTTGATTTTCTTTGCTTTTCAGATATTGTGAAGTGTCTCAAAATGAACAAGCCCTTCATCACTTTGAGGTTTTCTAATATTTTTCCTTCCCATTTACCCTGACTTCAGTGTTAAGAATCAGGATTTTAACCTCACCTGGTTGGTTTACCAGTAAGGTTGACAATCCTAAACCTGGGATATATATATATTTTTAGTGGACCTTTACAGAATTTTATTTATAAACTTAAAAATATAGACTACAACTGAGTTTAATTGCTATTCTTAGAC